GAAACATTTTTTTTTTCGGAGGCCTTTTTTTTTTTTTTTTTTTTTTTTTTTGCTGAGACCTTCTCTGGTCCTTGCACGGCTGGGCCGCCCGGGAAAACAAGGTGACCTGTGCAGCCCAGCTGGTAGCCTAGGTGTAACCAGGAGTCTGGTTCCTATCCACTGGCTGTAAGTGGGTCGGGAGAACTTGGGACATATGCATCATACTTGCGGCGCATAGTTGAAGTGCGCTGCGCAGTGTGGTGCACACTGCACTGATCGCAGATGCGCCAAAAAAAGGGAAAAAAAAAAGGAAAAAAAAAAGAAGAAGAAGCAACCGTGATGTGTGTATACACGCTGGAGAGAGAGAGAGAGAGAGAGAGAGAGAGAGAGAGAGAGAGAGAGAGAGAGAGAGAGAGAGAGAGCAAAGAGCCCTTTCAAATTATTCAGGCAATCCCTGCAGTACTTCAAGTTGGCAAGGGTCCCGTCAACAGGAGAAGGGTAATCACTGGACTTGTAGTAAGGAGGGAGCAGGCGAGCTATATATGGTGTAGCTTCGAATTCAGGTCTGTGTTTTAGCAGTTATGGGTTACTGACTTACTAACTCGGCATGTGATTTTCAGGGCTTCACTCCACTAATCACCAAATGTGCAAAACTAGAATGAATCTTCTCCTACAAACTGGAACCATACAAACCACATGTTTTTCTTTTGTGATGAGTGGAGCGAGGCCCTTAGGGGGACTGCACATAAGAAAAGGAAAAACAAAAAAACGAGACAGCTACTGTAGTTTTCCAGAAACAAGCATTAAGGAAAGTAAGAGTGGTAGAATCAGAGGAACAACGCATATATGAACCTCTAGTGGGCATAGCAGATTTGGAAGTCGATCCAGCAGAATGGGCATGGAAGAGGAAGTTAGGCAGACTAGGAATAGAGAAGCGTAATAACATCCTTGAATACTCCACTAAGCTGGGATATTCCCTAAGAATGAGATCGGTCTCAATAGCCCAGATCATCAACCAAAGATGGGAAAATCACCTCAATCTACCACCAAACCAAACTCTCATATCCTCATGGAGTACTCTGCTCGCCATCTCCCCAGGTAAGATAAGAAACTTTCAATGGCTGCTAGCCCATCGAGCGCTCCCAGTTAACAAATGGTTGAACAAAAGAAGGAACGCACAGTTGCAATCCCCTATGCAAGAACTATGTTCCATTTGCCAGGAGGG